GAGGGGGGGCGGGCAATGCATGTGTGCCACAGTGGGTTTGTGGAGGTCAGAGGACAACCTATAGGAATCAAATCTGTTTTTCTACCATGTAGGGCCTAGGAGTTGAACTCAAATTGTCAGCCTTGGTGGCAGCACTTTGATCTGCTGAGGTAGCTCATTGGCTCACCATCCTCCTTGTTGTTATTTTACATTTATTTGTTTTACTTTATGTATATGAGTATTTTGCCTGTGTATATGTATGTTCAGCACATGTGTGCCTGGTTACAACCAAGGTCAGCTTCCCTGGAACAGGTTACAGATGGTGGTAAGCCACCGTGTGGTGCTGGGAACAATCAGAGCCTGGCTCCTCTGTTAGAGCAGCCAGTGCTCTTAACTCCTGACCCATCAATCCAACCCTGTGTCAACAGTTTTTTTGTTTGTTTGTTTGTTTGTTTTGAGACAGCCCTGGCTGTCCTGGAATTTGCTTTGTAGATCAGGCTGGTCTCGAACTCTCAGAGATCTGCCTGCCTCTGCCTCCCAAGTGCTGGAATCAAAGGCGTGTGCCACCACTGCCTGGCCCTGTGTTAACATTTTTAACAGCTGTGTTAAACAGTATTCCGTGTTGTTAACAGTTGACTGACATTATTCAGCCTTTTAGTATATTTTTGGGGTTGTGTCTATCAGTCTTGGTCATTTCATAAATCCCTACATATTTTAACACTTCCCCCCCACCCCCCCAGCCCCTCACACTCTGGCTTTGAATTTTAGTGCTTTGTTGACGTTGCCTGGCCTTTTGTGTGCTGTTTGCCATCCGAGAATATATTAAGTTTTTATTCCTTTTGTTGTTTTTTATGTGAGACATGGTGTACATGCGGAAGTCATTCTCCACCTCTGTCATATGGGTCCTAGGGCTTGAACTCAGGCTTGTTGGCAAGCACTGTTATCTGCTGAGCCATGTTGTTGGCCCCCATCTATGTGTTCCCTTTGGAGAAATGTCTGTTCTGGTCCTTTTGCATGGGATTAAAACACATCGGTTGTTTTCAGCTTATAGCGGCGCTGTTGAGTGGCAGTGTTCCTTGTGTGTTCTAGGCTCAATTCTGTTTTCACAGCTGGGACTTACAGGGATCTTCTGTTCCATGCATTTTCACCTTCTTTTTGCTTTGTTTTCTTTGAGACAGGGTTTTTCTGTGTATCCCTGACTCTGTCCTGGAATTCACTCAGTGGACCACGCTGGCCTCAAACTCCGAGGTCCTGCCTTTGCCTCCCAAGTGCTGGGATTAAAGGTATGCATGCCATCTTGCCCGTGGAGTTTTTACATTGTTGATGGCATCCATTGAAACACACAAGACGATTTTAAATTCTGGGGTTAGAGGTGGAACTTAGCTGGTAGAGTGCTTGTTTACCATGCCTGTTGTGGGGTATTTGCACACTGTGTGAAGATGTATTTGCTGTGATTGGTGTAGTAAAAAGCTGAATGGCCAATAGCTAGGCAGGAGATAGAGGCAGGGTTTATGGGGAGAGAAAGGAAGAGGAAGAAAATCTAGGTGCTGAGGAGACACAGACAAGAAACAGGAGGTACACACAAGATAGAGAGGTAACACCATGTGATAGAGCATAAATTAATATAAATGGGTTAATTTAAGTTAAAAGAGCTAGTTTAGAGCAAGCTTAAGTTATAGGCCAAGCTTTCATAATTAATAAGAAGTCTCTGTGTCATTATTTGGGAGCTGGCTGGCAGGACAGAGGAAAACTCATTACACAAGTCCTGGGTTTCATCCCCAGCACCACATAAGCCAAAAAATATGCCAGCAAACCCAGCACATGGGAGGTGGAGGCAGAAGGATCTGAAGTTTAAGGTTACATAGTGAGTTTGAGGCCAGCCTGGTTAAATGAGACCCCTTCTTAAAACAAACATTTTTAATCCTGAAGTTCACAGTGTCTGCTTTTCTTAAATTGGTTGAGCTTCTACATATGTGCAGTTTTAACCCAACCACAGTTATTCCCAGAGAGCTGACAGATGTCTTTAGGAGCTGCCAGGAGCACAGCAGAGGGGCCTGTGGCCCAGAATCCTGTAGGCCTGGTCCAGGTCTCCCTTCTGTGGTATTTAGTAGACACTCTGGACCATTTAACTATCATAGATTTTCTCTGTGAAGCATCCCTGCTCCAGAGAGATGCTGTACAGTGAGGTCCAGTTTAAGCCCTCACTCATGGCCACCTCCCAGCTCTTCTGGCCCCTTCTCAGGCCTAATTGGCCCTCATCTATCTCCTCCCTGGGCTCTAGTTACTGTAGGAACAGGCTCTACCTGTTGCCTCCATGGAGAGAGTAGTTAGGCTAACTCTTGCCTCACCCTGGGACCCAAACCCAAGAGCCCCAGGCTGGGAGGAAGCAACACCCCACTTCCA